TTTTGTGATGGACTAATTTCACTCAACATAACATCCTCAAGGAAAACCAAGTCATAAGATGTTTTACAGATTCATTGTTATTCTTAACATTTTATAATAGCCCATTTTTTGTATGTAGTATAGTTTGTTTATCCATTCATCTGTTGGTAGGCAATTAGGTTTTTTTCCATCTTTTTTTGCTGTTGAGAATAACGCTGCAATGAGAGCACTATTTACAATAGACAAAAGATGGAAACAACGTAGGTGTCCATCAACTGAAGAATAGATAACCGTACTATGGTACATATACACAATGGAATACCATGCAACCCTACAGAATAATGTAGAATCTGCAAAACACCGCGTGGTGTGGATGAACTTAGAGGACAATGTGCTGAGTGAAATAGGTCAATCACAGAAGGACAAATATTCTATTAGTCTGTTGTTGTAAAGAGTCAAGGAAAGGCTTATATATGAAAGGGAATTTTCTTTGTTGTTTACCAGAGGTGAGAGGAGAGGCTAGGGAACACTGTTAGATAGGTAGAGACAAGAATTGATTTGGGTGAAGAGAAGGGCAAGGGACCAAATGTGAGTGATCAACATGGTGCCATTGAGGAAGAGGAAGACATAAAGAGGTACCTGGGAGGTACAGACAACAAAGATGAAGCCTTTTGAACATACAGTACTGCATTGTCAATGAAGGAAAACACGGCTATATGAGTGGACAGATGGGAGGACAGGCTGAACTATTAGGTATGTCTGTGCAGGGGGAAGTATGCCGAAGACCATGTATAGGGTTGTCAGACAATGTTTCTACAAGCGTATTGATATGTTCTCTGAGAACTCCCAGTTACATAGTAGAGCTGACAAGGCACAAGGTTGTAGTCACTTCTTGGGCACAGCCAGCTACCGAGAGGGACTGAGTAGTTGAACATATGGGCTTGGAACCATAGACACAGGGGACATCAAGCTTAATTGGCATAACGTACTACACAAAACCTTGTTCCACATCCTACTTTTTTGAGGTGCAACTTGGATCTTAAAAGCTTGCAAGCAGCTGTCTCGATGCACCCATGGGTCTCTCCTCACCCAGAGCAAAGAAAAATGAAGAAAAACAAAGATTCATAGAAACAATTAGTCCAAGCAACTGGTACCTCATGCGATCCTCATCCTATATATTAGATCAGAAGAACTACATGGTGCCCAGCTACCACCATCAACCAACCACTCATAGGAGGATCTATGTACGAGATCCTGTATAGAGTGGGAGAACAATGTGGAACAAAATTCAAGATCATTCTAAAACATAAATAAATAAGGGACCATATTTGTTGGTCTGTTAGAGGCTGATGGAACCACTGAGACTATGGCCCTAGCTGCCCTTCAGGCCTGGAATTGAACTCACTCTTGTGGCTTCCAGCCAAACAAAGGGATATGAGGCGAGGATTTACACTAAGTAGTTACACTCCTCAGAGAAAACACTCATGGGAGAAAAGAAGGGTTGTGTATGCAAAGGGAGACAGCTCATGGGGCAGGAGTGCTTGGAGGGAAGGACACAGGGAAGAGGTAACTATGGGGAGGAAGTGAGAGGGGAGCTGTTGCATTGTGGGAAATTGTAATCAATGTCATGAGACAAAGTATATGTGAACTGCTGTATGGAAAGTGAATTTACTCTGTAAACTTTTACCCCAATCATCATCACTATCATCGTCATCATCGTCATCGTCATCATCATCATAATGCTGTGATGAACGTGGATGTGTGTATATCTGCCCATATCATGACTCTTATTTCTCTAGAATATGTAACTAGTAGTGGGATTGTGCATCATATAGTATTTCTATTTCCAAAATAGAAGCCAATATATTTCTTTTACTTGTAATGGCCATTTTTCTTTGTACTTACTTTTGAAACACACATTGTTCTAAGGTATTAAGACTGACTGTGACTTTAATCCTTTCCACATAGGAAACATCAGTAATTCCCTATCCATGACTCTGAGGACTATGCTCACTTTTTTAAATTTTGGCCATTTTTGATTATGAGATTGGAAAAACAATTGTCAGTGAGTTGAAGATTGAAACAAAGAGATGTTATCAGAGAAAAATTCCATTGCATGTGTAATGTTTTGGACATAGTTCTGGATGAGGCTTACTGCCAAGCTGTTGCTCTGTTTCTTTCCATGATCACTGCTGCCCAGGAGTGCATAGTCCAGTTTTGGCTCCTCATATCTATCAGAGAAACAATAAACTGGAATGCATGCCGTCTGTTGATGACTTCTACTCAGGGTGACCTCCAGATCTCATTGTTTAATAACAGAAAGTGATACAATGTATTGTTTAATTGCAACTGTGAAATTATAAGAATGAGACCAGAGTTATGTAAGTGATAAAAAATACCTCAGAAATCAAAGATTGGGTGATTAATTCCCTGTGCCAATGCTGTATACTAATCATCACTAATAATCTTTCCATTTGCATTAGTTTTGTCTGCTTTGGAATGTTAGATACATGGAAGGATATAGTAGCATATTTTTTTTGTCTTCTTTATCCACTGTATATTTAGCTATATCTATAGCGGAATGCCTAAAGGCACTTGACTGCTAACCAGAAGGCTGGTGGGTCAAACCCACCAGCCACTCCTCAGAAGAAAGATGGGGCAATCTACTTCTGTAGTGATACTGGCTCGGGAACCCAAGGAGGGATGGCTATGAGTCAGGTCCAACTCCACAGCACATAACAACAACAATAATACCAAAGCCTATATGTGATATATATCTATGTGTTAGTATAAATTAATTATAAATTAATTTTAACCATAATAACTAATTATATATTTACAATATGTTATAAATATTATAATTAAGTTGATAACTTATAAATTAATCATATACTAATTAGATCTACATATATTTTGGTTGTTCCATTTTTGTCCCATCCAGTTGATTCTGATGCATGGCAAAATTATAGGGCAGAGTAAAACTATACCACAGAGTTGTTTAGGCTGCATATTTTATAGGAGCAGATTGCCATGTCTTTTCTCCCACAGAGCTGCTACTAGATTTGAACTGCCAACCTTTTGGTGAGAAGCAGAGTGCTTAATCATTATACCCTCCAGGGCTTCTTGACGTACGCATTGCTGTATAAACATCCTTATAACCAGAAGGCTGGCGGTTCAAACCCACCAGCCACTCTTTGGAAGAAAGATGAAGCAATCTACTTCCGTAGTGATACTGCCTCAGACACCCAAGGAAGGGTCACTATGAGTCGGGTCTGACTCGACAGTACATAACAACAAGAACAACATATGTTGTTACATTTGTAAAAGTCATCTGTTCATTTACTTTGCTGTATAAACTTCCATATTATGAATGTAGTGGAGTTTATCTATACATAATTGTCGATGGACATTTTATTTATTTCCAGTTTGGTATATATTATACACAATCTTTTTTTTTTTGTGATTTGGGTGAAAATTTACAGAACAAATTCACTTTCCATACAGCAGTTCACATAAACTTTGTCTCATGACATTGACTACAATTTACACCAATACAACACCTCCCCTCCCACTTCCTCCCAATAGTTCCCTCTTCCCTGTGTCCATGCACTCCTGCCCCTCAGCTGTCTCCTGGTGCGTAAACAACTCTTCTTTCTCCCATGAATATTCATTCCAAAGAGTGCATCTACCTTAGGTAAATGTTCAAATCATATGACTGTCTTTGGCTGCAAGCCACAGGTGTGGGTTCAATTCCGGACATGAAGGGCAGCTAGAGGCCATTGTCTCAGTGGTTCCATCAGATGCTATCAGACCAAGAACACTATTCCCCTCCCTCCCTTTTTTTTTCCCAAATGATTTTTAGTTTTGTTCCACATTGCTCTCACATTCTATCCAGGATCTCTTAGATAGATCCCCTCTGAGTGGTTGACAGTGGTAGCTGGGCACCATCTAGTTCTTCTGGTCTCATAGTTGTATAGGCGGCCAATTGCATGGTTGCTTGGATTAATTTTTTCCATGAATTTTTGGTTTTCTTCATTCTTCTTTGCTCTGGGCACAGAGAGACCCATTGTTGTATCTAGATGGTTGCTTGCAAGCTTTTAAGATCTCATGTCTACTAGCCAAAATAGGAGGTGGGACAATGTTTTGTGTAGTATGTTATGCCAATTGAGTTTGATGTTCCCTGTGACTATCATCCTGAGCTCACAGATTCAACTGCTCAGTCTCTCTGGGTAGCTGGCTGTGACCAAGAAGTGACTACAAACTTGTCCCTTGTCAGCTCTACTATCTGCCTGGGAATTCTTACATATCACACAATACACTTCTAGGACCATTGTCTGCCAACAATATACACAGTCTTGAGTACACTCCCTGAGGCATTGACATACCTAATAGTTCAGCCTTTCCACCCATCTATCCACCTGTATACCCCTGTTTGTCTTCACTGACAATGCAGTACTGTATGTGCAAAAGGGTTCATCTTTGTTGTCTGTACCTCCCAGG